ACAACAACCCAATCAGGGGCCATTTGGACCATTTGGTGGGTTCTCATTTGCCAACATGCATCCGTTTGAGGGTGGTCACTTTGAATTCCACTTTGGCTGATTCGCACCACAATTTTTCATGTTGCCTGAGCTGTGGTGCTCCATCGGGTTCAGTCTTTCGCCGCTGCCTCCCGCAACTTCCCCACCGAACCACTCGTCCTCGTCTCCAGTATCTTCAATATGTTGCCTTCTATTGTACAGATATCTGTTGCCTCATCCTTCCCTCCCCGCCAACACCCGCCCTTCTCGCTCCAGCTTGCACCTCATTGTTTTGCGCTGTTAGTTGGTTTTGCGAGCAATGTGATATTTCCGCCCTCCTCAACGGTGTCTTTATGGTTTATGGAGCCATTCCTACTTGTAGCTCGATACCGGACACGGCTTTTTGTATAGACAATTGTTTCCAATAAGCGATGCTTGATTTGCCACGCTTATCTTTCATAACAATCATCCGGTCGGTATTTTTCGCATACTAGCTGTCGAAAGTTCAGTTTATACAATCATTAACTGTGCACTTTCGTGTGGCGGTTTTGGTCATTGCCTTTTGACTATTTATTTGGCTGAAGGAATGGAGGAAAGATTGAAATGCTGAAAGCAGTGCCAATATGAACAAGGAGAATTTTGGTAAGCTGTGGTTGCAAAGAAATTGAGGAGATACATGAGCGCCACTGTTTTCTGCACTTAATCGTATCACGCAGTGTTACGCTGATCCTGAGATTCCCATCCAGGAGGTCTAACGTGATCGATGTGACCGAGCCTCCTGATCAGGGTCTTCATGCTAGGCTTTTCTTTGACCACGACTTTTTCCACCCTCGAAAATTAACTCCAACCCTTAAACCATCAAGCGTGGGCAACTATAATTCAGTATATCCATGAAGCCCGATTATCGTGTCCCAGGAGTCAGCTGACGTTTAGTTTAAGCACTCCAGCCAGCATAATCTGGAGTCATCATCATCATCGTACAACAAAATGCAATGAAGCGAACTTCACTGATCGCTGCCAAACTCGCAATGCATACGAGATTAGTGGTAAAATTTAAGGTGGAAAGTGATTGGACCTCCTTGGATGGAGGGAGAATGTGAACCACGATGGTTGCATGGTTGACACGCAGAGTGCACAATCGAACTCTGTATACATGCCATTTAAACGACATACCAGTGAACCGATTGCAGTGGCGTTGTTGCCATTTTTAGCAATCCTAACTGCTTCAAGAAGTAGACATATACAAAACTTAGAAAGTACTGTATGTGTTGATCTTAGTGGTACACCTTACAGATTCATACTTTATTTATATACGTTGTGAGTTTGGCGGCGATCAGCGTATTTCTCTTTGCCATAGTTCACTGTAAGATGATGATGACAATGCTGTACAGACTTCGACTTGCCTTATGAATGCCATTTAGAAGCATTGATAAAAAATTGCTCTTGCCTACAACGTTTAGTCATTGATTTTTCCCGTACCTCATTGAAGTTCATCTCTGATTATTTTGGACACTACGAGTGAACTGCATATTTGCGAATACTTGCTAAACTGGTCCAGACTTTTCCCAATAAATCATGAATACGAATAAACCACCCCAAGATATTTTTGAGTGTGATGCTGACATGTCGTCCAAACCAAAGCGAGTGATTCACGATCAATGCTTTGGAACAGAAAAGACAATGATGATTTCATGATCGAGATGCACTGACTAGTTCACTGTGGCCCAACATTCGAGGTCACCTGAAGTCGTGCTTTTGAATCATAGCGCGTGAAACCCCCTTTCCACGTATCCCAGCACCGGTTTGACCGCTGCACCATCCGAAAAGTTAATTGTATCAGTGTATTCAGTAAAATTGAAGTGCTCGCATTATCGAACAAACATTTGTTGAGACACAAAACGCGTCCACAATGTTGGATGAGATTCGTTCAAAAGACGTACGGCTAATATTTCCGGGTTCAACATTCAAGGTTCGCAAGCCCTGGTCACAGTGAAAAGAATTAGGAAAAATTCATACATATGTCGGTGATTTGAGGCAGCTTTGGCTACATCCACCTTAGATGGCAGGTGAAATCTACCTCAGTGCTCTCAAGTATGGTCAAGAGCAATACGACTATTGCTCTGCTCGAGTAAGACGACCGATACGCGTGACCAACGTTTTATAGTGAAACCTGCAGGGAAGGGTTTACACGTGCAATAAGACAGCGAGACTCACGGGGGAAAGTGACAATTCCACGATTGGGCATGGTGGCGCAGTGGTTTAGTCGCTGTCACAGGCGTGCTTTGGACACTATGGTCCGAGGTTCGAGCCCGGCCACCGCCACCCAATTGCGGAATGCATTACTCACCTAGTCCGATCCCACTGCTCATCTACATTATCATGTTGAAGCGTACTTAGCTCTGACTCGGAGTGCGCGAACTGCTGGCACAGATAGTCGATGATGAGCTATATTAGTTTGCTGGTTTTTTCGCCGACCAGTCAGTTGGAGAGTAAATTGCATCAAAACCAATGCGTGATCAGACTCAACGAAGGTGGTCCAATAGGGCCTGCAATTTTGCAATGAGCCACGCCAACGATAGCTTACTGCTATACGGTAGATTTGAGTTAGCGTACCAGTTGAACTGGAGCTACGTTGCCGTCCGTCGAGAGCTGTGACGGAAGTTGGTACTTCATAGGAACAGATGATGGTCTACGCAGAACTGAAGAAGTCGATCGCCGTTATCTGTTCGTTGGTAAGGTAGAGCACAACTATCGCCTAGGCAAGCTTATAATGCGCCCAGTTTTCCAACCTGCGCGTTGAAATCACCTGCAAGTAAAACTATGTCGGAGCTTCGACTCATCCGAATGAGATCGGTGAGTTTATCGTAGAAGGCATTCTTTTGTCTATCAGAACTGTAATTGGTCGGTGCGTATGCCGATACGATGAACAAACACCTTTTAGTTTTGCTTCCCTTTCGGACGTTGATTGAACCCTGGATACGAGCTGTACATAAACGACTATTGACGGGGATCCGGTCGATAAGAGAAGACTCAACCCTGTTATTGAGTACAATACCTCCCCCAAGCTTCCCTACTGAACGAGCTTCGTTGTCGCCGGATGTGCGAAGAACGTACCTCGAGGACAAATCTGGCACCCTCAAGTGGCTTATCGTAGTAGGATCCTGATTTCGAGTCTCGGACACGCAGCAACTATCGATTCCAATGTTGTTGTTGACGTACCTGCATCAAGGACCTCACGTTGAAGGCCCCAGATTCAGTGACTGACGAGGCTTTAGAATCTGCAATCCATTCCGCGGTAAATCACTTACGGTGTTATTTGGCAATGACCTTTGGGGAACGATATCCAACTTACTTGAGGGACAGGTCGGAACAAGGGGCAAATGGAGAGGGCTGGGTGCTGAAGACAAAGAATTAAACAAAGCAGGAGCCCACTTATCACTTCCCTAGCCCGCTCGATGCAATGGGCACCGCGGTCCTGATTTTCCTGCGCGACAATCGACGCAGTATGGAATTATTTTTAGTTTGTGTATGCATTGGGGTTTTTTCGTTGGCCCTGCTTTTACCCATGCTTCGAAGTTTCATATCGATGTCCTACTGTCTGGGCTTGACATATCGCTCAACATCAAGATGTTTCTTACTTTGACCGGAATTTCCTAGTTGAGGTGGGTAGGTGGAACCAAATAACTAAGCGACTTGTCAGTCCTCCGATTTGTCCAGCCAATCACATGGAATGAAAGTATGGCAGCACTCCTTTCATCGTGCGACCACAATGAGAAGCTTCGTTGTGAGACCTGTTTTTCCCCACAGCATTAACCAGTTTATGTTTCACTATCTTGACAATTGTGTGCGTACTGATTTCTTCCCAACGGTAGTGATATTATTTGCCAACCGGCGGAGCCTCAAAATCATTCTGAATATCCATTCTAAAGGAAAACCTCTCGAATAAATCTGAATTATTTTGTCGTGATTTCTCCCCCTGCTAAACGCTTTGATATAAATTGTGATTTATTAGCTTATAGATGAATCACCGCAAACGAGCTTGTTCGCTACTGAGTTTTTCTTGCAGTGTGTAAGCTGAAAGCATGTATATAATTCACGAAAGCTTCAATGTAACACAATGTTCAATCAGGACAATTGGTGCGAAGTTACAAATACATCAGCATTCAGATGCAATTAGTCTTTTCTGATTTACAGCCACAAAAGCACTCAGAATAATAAAACCGATTCGGTATGCATGTAGGAAGTTATGGCAGGCCCAAAATGTTAAGTAATGTCAACCTGTTTTCGGTCAGCGTAAAGATATTTCTTGATGGAATAATAGCATCCAAATAGATAAAACTTTTCTCCTGTCTGATGACATCCTGTAGTTGATGATTTCAAGGTGTCGGCGTACCCCCCTCAAAACTACTGCGGTCTGGGGCAACCAATAAGATCAAGAATAATCCACCTCATATGCTTGGTCAGAATCCGCAGCCAATCCAGACAGTTGACAAAGATCCTGTACACTAACTATTAATTAACTACAATTCCTTCTTACTAATGGACATGCTTTTGGTGCAATACATTTATTCCTACGTGCTTCCAGGCTTGTTCTATTTCATTAGCTGCGGAGTTACTATCTGGACGAGAAACGGTCTAAAAGGATAATCATATGGGAATTCTGGATCGAGAATATCAGTGTGGTTAAAGCATACGCGGTCCTCGAAGGAGACACCAAACTTCCTAAAACAATGCAATCACTCTTACCTTGTTGTTTCGTATTTGAATTTACTTGTTTCTACAAAATCCATTTTACTCTAAACCCTGTTTTTATGTCTTCCAGATTGTTAATTTATTTCATGTACTCGTTACTAACTTGAACACTGTCATGGATATTGTTTACTCACGTCCGGTGGTGACACACTGACCCAGATCACTACAACTTCTCACACATTTCTAGCCAACCCCTTCATGCCTAACTGCGTTGTTTCATATTTAGCTGTCACTGCTTCCACCAATCAGGTTTTTCCACGTGCTACTAATGACATCGATTTCACACTCTTTTTCTTCGGAACACTTCCTTTAAATCCTCTCCAGAAGAGATACAGTTAAATGCTTAGAAAGATATAACTGCATATAGAGTACAACTAGTTTACTTATTCATACTTTGATCCATGCAGATTACTTAATATTACAAACCGAACTACCTTATAACTCTATTAATAAGTCATGACAATTCTTGCAATACCAAATTTAGCTCATACAAGATATTACTGCAAAAATCAGAGAAGAGAAGGGAAGTGAACAAATCTCATAATCAGGGGCATGAATCTCTGCGTACTGATCGAGTGGATAGTGCTCCCTAATTATTATTTTGTTTTAATGCATCGTGAATTTAGTTGACTGAGTACCTCTTGGAGGAATAAAGGTCGGTTTAAACGTCACAGATATTCCTCCAGTTTCTTGTTTTCACATCCTATCGATCCGGTGTAAGCGGATAGAAACAAATGACTATCNAATCGATCCACAACGAGCTTATGATACTGCACTATACAAATCACAATGTCAGAGCATAGTTGACTGTGAAGAACTTCCCGTGCACTCCACCACATCTCTTTCTGAATGCTATCGCTCACTGTGGTTAGCATCAAGAACACGTCGCTTGTCATATTCAATTTTCCTTGAACCAAGAGTAACATGCAAAAATGTGAGATAGTACGTAACAGAAATTATTCCATTCATGCATTTAAAAGTTCGCGATTTCAGACCAAAAATGTCAAGAAAACAGTAGTCTGATTACCATGTCATTCGTAGAAATGCATAATTGACGGTTGTAGAACAAAAATTCTCGAAAAAGCTTCAGGAAAAGTAACAATCAGAATGTCTACGGAGTCTTGTAATCATTTGTCCTAGCTGTAAAATGGGACGGAATGACAATAAAGATACGTTGTTTTTAAGCAAACGGAGGCAGAATAGGGATCATCCGCCCCCCCCCCCAATTTAGAAGAGTTTTGGGCATTTTGGAACTTCCATCTTCTTTAAGGTGATTTGGAGTACNACTTTTGGGAGCTGTGCTGTTCTGTCCATCAAACAGCATGCATGAGTGCAAAAATGGCATCTATGAGATAAGTATGATTCAGACCGATGAAAGAAAAGCAATAATTTAAACCCACTCTTATTTTTTACGCAGTTTTCCATGGATGGAGTCGAAACTATCGGTGCATTCGGTAGTAGTTCATATTTGCAGGGAGGCTGAACACATCATTTTGACCACCTAAGTCGATCACAATTTTCGGCTGTTGTGCAGAGTGCGTTTGTCGGTGTGAAGTGCCACTAAGTTGATTATCGCTGCTTATATATCCGATTGTGCATGGGAATCTGTAGTAATTGTATTAGTAGTACGCAATGAACACGAATTACGCAATACGAATCACTGATTAGCAATTACGGACGTCACCTAAGCACTGGATCGCACCGGCACTTGCACGCAATGTCCCACGTAACTGAG